ATGTCATGACTCTGCAGGACTTTGAACCTGGAGGGCACCCAAAGGCAGGATGCGAGTCTTTTCCCTATACCAGCCACACTGGCTGAGGCTTGTTGGGCATCAGGTCTGAAAGGGAGGTAAGCAAACCCTCCTCCGGGGGTTGTGCCAATTTCTGCATTGCTGAAGAGGAGGTGTGGGTAAGCAGATTGCCTGAGACAATTTTGCAAGCCCTAATAACAGACTACAAATGCGTAACTTTAAAAAAAAAATTCTAACCAATCCACGTCCAGGCAGATCAAGGTGTTTATGGGGTTCAGTACTGAACCCACCCTCATTTCCACACTGATCCCTCCCAAAGTGGTCTGGGATTCTGCACAAGTATTTGCTCGAAACACAAGATATGCCCCTCTGCAACTGGTTGTAATTATTATTTTTTTTTACTAACCTGCTTCTGTGTTGCTTGTCTGTCTGTAGTTGTTTGAATGATGTACCTCATTCAAAGTTTAAAATACATAAATACAGTCAAAATACTAATACCCAACATTAAAACTAGAATAGGGACTAAAAAATAGCAGCAGCCAGGCATGGGCAGAACTCAAAACAATCTAAGAGTTAAAGCAGTGCAACTGCCACAAACAGATTTAGCATTATTAGTGTCAGACTTGTATGATGTTCAACAATAGTACAAATGTTAAAAGCCTAGAACTAAGAAATCTTTGCCAATCCTTGGAAGGTGATAGTGTGTCGGACAGGTGCGCCTTGAAAGAGTATTCAGAAAGGGCCTCCAGTGATACTCTTGGTCTATCATGGATAGGTACGTATGGGAACTGGAGTCCCTTTAGATGCTGAGGCCCCACACTTTTTGCGTCAAAACCAACACTTTGCATTGGGTCCAAAATTGATCCTAAGCAGGGGGAAGAGCCAGTGTTATATGATCACAACACCTGGGCCCAGTTAAAACCTCTGTTGCTACATCAAGTGCCAGATGGCATCCCCAGGTCATCTCTGGAGGCAGCCCCGCAAATACCATGTGGTAACAGTCCAAATGGGAGGTTACCAGAGCAAGGACTGCCGAAGGGAGGTTATCTGAGCAGTGTGTTTCTTCTTGTTAAAGACTTTTCAAAGTCTGAATATGCCTGTTCTTCAAATTTGTCGGGGTGGTCATATGTTTTATAGCTCCTGGTTTTTTAGTTGCTGATCTGGCCCACACCACTGAGGAGGGATAAGGTGCAAGACCCAGAAGCCAGGTAATAAGCCGAACTTCCCACAACTGAAAGGCAAGAAAGAAGCAAGTCCAGATGTGTCCGTTGACCCAGTTCTCACAGATTTCCCCTCCCCTCCCCTCCCCTCCCCTCCCCCACTCTTGTGTATTTCATCATCTTTTTGAGGAGCTGATCCAAGGAATAACTCTGTGATGAGATGGATCTATGTTGTTGCTGGGGAGCATGGGCAGGAGGGAGTTGCCATGCTCGTGTCCTGCTTGGGGGCTTCCTGTGGGCAGCTGGTGGTCCACCAGGTGAGCAGAATGCTGGGCCACGTGCACCACTGGTCTGGCCCCGAGGCTCTTCTCTGGTTCTTATATAAACACTGCAATGATGCAAGAAGGCCAGGGAGCACGTCAGAGTGGAGCTAGGGTGAATTAACAAGCGGCAGCCAGGCCCCAGGTAGGGTGGCCGTGTGTCCTCTTTACGAAGGTCAGTCCTCTGTGCAAAGGGCTGGGCTGGCCAATTCCAGCGTAACAAGACAGCACCATAAGAACTGCTGGGCATCCCCATTCAGCCCCTGAACAGGCAGGTGGAGGAGGCATGTAGTCCAGACCTTCCTCACTGTACTGAGATGAGCTGTATTTCTGTTCCAATGCTGACCATGCCTAAAGATCCAGCTAAACATCAAGTGGCATGTGCTGATGTTATGCAGAACGCTGTTCTCTTTATCCTCTTTTTTGATGATGCATTTCTTATGTTTTGGCCATTCATAATGGCCAGCTTGTCGGCGGCTGGGAGAGGCTGTCAGGGAACAAACCAAGAGGCACTAAAGTCTAGGCTTGTCCAGGTAAGACCCGGGCTGGAAACAGAAGCTTTATAGGCCTTCCTTGTTGAGGGGAGCTGCCGGCCAACTTGAATCGGAGAGCGGGAATCGGAGAGCCCTCTGCTGCCTAGGGCTATGCTCTGAAAAGTAGCTGAGGGCACTGACCACAAAGGGCAGTTGTGCACAGACCTGCAAGTTTCTCTTTCCCCACAAAGGCCATACATCATGTGCTGGGTCTTGGGGTCCTCCAGGCAAAGCACAAGGTATTTTTGGGTAGCCCATACCAAGGATGTTTCCAGAGAATACTTTCTATTGCACTGTTGCCCTCCTCATTTACTGCAATCTGTAGCAGGTTCTCCCACTGTTGTCTTTCATTCTTACCCCTCCCATGTCTTTGCATCATTTCTTCTGGCTTGCTATAGACAAAGGCACGAAGGTGAGAAGGCTGGGGTACCTGTACAGCACCTCCACAGGGATTACTCAACAAACCCTCCACCTGGACGCTCCCAAAGTGAGCGTAGGCACTGTGTTAGCTGGTGAGCCCTCTGTCTGCCCACCTGCTCTCCAGCGCTTGTTTAATGAGAATTCTAGAGAACGGGTTATTGTTATGTGTAAACATTGGCACTGTGGTTTTACTATGGTTGCTCACAACCCAGGAATAAAACATGTGAACTCTTTTTTTTTGTTTCATCTTTATTAAAACAACAACCAGGTTGTTTACTAATAATTAAAAACAAATATGAACCAGGAGTTCACATTTATAAACACATGCCTCTGTTACCAATTATAACAGGAGTGTGAAGATTATTTGCCAGAGAGAAGAAATCTCAAAGTCAAAAATCTCTCAGAAAATCTTACCATCCAAATCTCTTAGAGCAAAGTATGTTTGTCCATATCCTGCCATGTATCACTGGGGCAGATTAGAGTCCATCTTCTTTTTGGTCAATGAATTGGATAAATGGAGACCAACTACACTCAAATGTATTGATATCTAGATGGTCTTTTAGATACCTAATTTGCCCGTCAGTTTCTCCAACAGAGCCAAATCCCAAGGGATACCATCACCTTTCCAGCCTTGGATAAAAGCTTGTGTAGCACCCAACAATAAAATAGAAATCAAATCTTTCTTCAGATATTTAATGCTGAGTTTCTTAGCTAAATGAAAGCATAACCTGGATGTAGAGTGATCAACTGGCTAGTGATTTTATTATTTTCTTTTTCAATTTTTCCTCAGAAGTGTTGAGCAAATGGGCTTGGATTGTGAACTCTGAGTTGTTTGTGGCTAACAGTCCATAGTGAAACCACAGTTGCAGGGTTTGGATGGAATAACAACCCGCAATCCAACACCAACCGCAACACATGATTCAAGTATGACTCTAGGTTTTCATTATGTGCCAACCAGCTCACAGAGGCTGCGTGAAAGCCAGTGGAACATGAGAACAGTGTTTAAGGCCACATCCTATATTTCCTTTTTAAAAAACCCCAAGAATTAGGGGAGACTCCTTGGACTGGCCAGAGGCACCCTCTGCTTGTATATCTCACCAGCACTGGCCCATGGGGTGTGCCTGGCCCCAGCATGAGGGGCTTGTTTTGATCCCTGTGGTTTGGCACTCGGAGTCCTGCAGCTGAAGAAGCAGCTGCTTCCAAAGGAGTCAGCCCGTCAGAAAGTCTCCAGCAGAATTCAGACCTATTCAGTCCCCGCTCACCAATTATGAAAACCTCCTCAGGCAACAGCTTGGCTATGCTTACTTGACAAACTGCTTTCTGACAGATGAAGACTGTTTTAATTTCCACAGCATTTCATGAATAATTTTTTAATGATGTGTGCATTTTTGCCATGCATTTATTTCCTTATTTTAGTATATTGATATTCCACACTTTTTCCTGTAAGGAATCCAAGGCTGCTTACACAATCCTCCTCTCCATTTTACTTTCAGAGCAACCCTGTGAGGTAGGCTAGGCTGAACATGACAAGCCCAAAGCCACCCAGTGAGGAGCGTGGCTGAGGAGAGACTAGACCACGGAGAGATTCCAAGCCCCAGCCCAGTGCTCAAACCACTACACCACACTGTTGTTGACAGTTTTATTGCTGACCTCATACTGCTACTTTAGTTGCTGTGCTGGCATTGCTTGTTTTAAATTGATGGTTTATTCTTTGTTATGAGTGGCCTTGGAACTGACATGTATTTCCCTTTACATCAA